AACCCCTGAGATGGAGAAGCTTCTTAGGTCTTGTTTTGGAAATTTATACAAGTTACCCGTTCGTAGGTGCAGCTACTCGTCGGTTATGGTCCACGCGATGCTAGCACGGCAGGTAGTTACGAAGAAGAAGTATGAAGTGTGGCCCGTTTTTGGTGGGAACCCATTTAGATTTTCATTGGTTGAATTTGGGAATGTGACGGGTTTGCCATGTGGGGAGTTTGAGAATGGTTATGTTGTAGATTTCCAGCCCAATTACAAGGAGGAAGACTATTTGTACTGGGACAAGTTGTTTGGAGGTAGACGTGACATTACAATCCCTGACGTTGTGAAGATGGTAACTGAAGACACGACACTGTCAGCTAGCAGGAGATTCAGGTTGTGTTTGATAATACTTGTTGATGGGGTACTTATAGCATCTACCCAACCAGCTAGGCCAACTGTGAAGCATGTTAAGTTGCTTGAGAATCTTAGGAGTTTCTTTTCTTTTCAGTGGGGGCGTGAATCGTTTTACTGGACTGTGAATACAATGATACCTGGGAAGAAGATACTTGGGAAATGTCCGGATCCAGAGGCTGAATTTTGTGCTAAGCTGAGGCAGAAAACCAAGAAAATGTCGGGTTTGCCTTTGGCTCTACAATTGGTTGCTTATGAAGGGATCCCACAGTTGTTGGCCAGGTTGGGAGGGAATGATGATCTAAAGATCTTAGATTGTGAGAGATTACCACAGCACACTGGGCTAAATCTTGTTGATGTGTTGGAGGCCGAGCATCACCATCAGGTAAAAAAAATAATTTAAAAAGCTGAGAACACGTGTACAGCTTCTCCAGTGGAAAAATACTCGTACTGGTGTACACTTAACATCTTTTGTTTTGTTTGTATATGTGCAGTTAATTGTGCAGCCGAGGATGGATGTTGGGGCAGACAAACCTGATGGGTGGGGTGAATGGGATGATGAGATTTCTGACCGCAGAGTGAGCTACATGGTGTCGCTTATTGACGCTGGACACAAGTTCAAGAAGTCTGATTGGGGAGGAGGGGACGGTGGAGAGCCTGTGTATAACCACGAGGTGCAGAAGGCAGCTAAAAAAAGGAAGAGGGATATGGCGCAGTCGAGGAAAGCTGATCTAGGCTGTCCTGTTATGAAGCAAAAAAGAGTGAGCCATTACTATATGCGTGAAGAGCCTGTTGATAATGAAAGAAGCATGGAGTTAGAAACCCGTGTAGGAGAGCTTGAGAAAACTGTTGCTTGGATGAAGAAGAAGTTATTACGGCGCAAGAGGACTGGAGTTACGCCCAAGAAGGGTGTGTTATGGAGTGGAGAATCCAAGAAGAAAAAGAAGAAGAAGATTGTGCAGATGCCAACGGTTAGTAATTTGCCCGTTGGTAACAATGAAGTTTTTGATGACGATTGCCTTGGTAAGAGCTCATCAGATGGCGGAAGGGAGGTTGGGAAAGCGGGTGATAACACGGATATTCCAGGCGATGGGAAGCTGGTGCAAGGTAGTGCTGTTTCGGATGTAGATGTTGAGGCTGTGGAGGAATTTGGAGAAGATAAGAGTGATGGTGGTATTTTTCTGGGAGAACCGGAAGCAGATGATAATGGTGAATCAAATGAGATGGAGGGTTTGGAATTGGACGATGATGATAGTTCCTCTGAGCCACCTGAAGAAATGCTTGTACCCTTGAAAGAAGGAGATGGTGTACCGCAGCAGTGGGTAGAGAAAAGTTTGAAGGGTCATGGTGGAGCTGTACTATATAGAGCCACTACAAGCAAAACGTTTTACGTAACTGAGGATGATGTAAGTATTTTGTTTGAACATTTTTTTCCGATTTGTTTGCAAATTCTTCATTTGTTGTTTGTATTATGTTTTTGTGCAGGGGAGTACAAGTGTTGGAGACGAAGTGACGAAGTGTGGCAGTAGCATAAATGAGAAGGTGATTTAAGTTGTATGATGCTGAGTATACATTGTTGTAAGGTTTGATTTGATTTTTTTTGGGGTGCACAGGTCAGCAGTGGTGGGGAGGAGACTGGAAATTCGTTAGTATCAAAGAGCATGGCGGAAGAGAGTGAAGTGAACATGGTTTGTTGCTGAGTTTTACGTTTCTGTTTTTTTTTTTAATTTCTTTTCTGTTTGTTTCGTTTTATACATTTCATTTCATATTTGGGTACCAGGATTTAGGTGGGCTGAACAAATTGGTGGGTGCACTTGTTAAGGAGCATGGAAGTAAGTTTGGGGAATTGAAGGGTGGCGAAGGGAATGTTCATGGTAGCGAGGTAAGGATGCTGGTGGCAATGGTTGTTTTTCACTTGTACGAGTAATATATGTTGTACTAGTGTACAAGTGGTATATGTTGTATACGTAAATGGTTGTTTTTTACTTGTACGAGTAATATATGTTGTACTAGTGTACAAGTGGTATATGTTGTACTAGTGTACAAGTGGTCATGGTAGGGAGGTAAGGATGCTGGTGGCAATGGTTGTTTTTTACTTGTACGAGTAATATATGTTGTACTAGTGTACAAGTTGTATATGATGTATACGTCAATGTGAGTCTAGTTGTACGCGTGTACGAATAATATATATGGTAATGTACGATAAAAGTGGACGGATGGATGAGTAAGGTTTTAAGGGTTTGTTATTTGTCCACAGCAGACGGGTGAAGCGGCTGATGAAGGTGTTGAGGCGGATGTAGCTGATAGGACTGGTGCGGAGGTTGAAGAACAGGAGTTGGATGGAAAAGGAGCTGATAGGACTGGTGCGGAGGCTGAAGGTGTGGGGTCTGAGAAGGTAATCTGTATAAGTGGATCGTGTTTTTAAGTAATGTACTTTTTCTTGTTGTTTTGGTTTATTTATGTTCTGTGTTGTTTTTAAAATCCAGGTTGATGCATCCGTTTCGGGGGAGGTGAGGACTGTTGATGAGTCTCATATAAGTGGGAAAGAAATGGTAACCTATGTGAGCGACTCATCCCCGTGTCCAAGGAGCAAGAAGCACATGCCGATAGAGTCAGAAGCAGACTTGGCGGCTTTGTTATTGGCGAAAGCCCCATATAGCTTAGAACAGATTGTGCCAGCTGAGGAGGATGTTGATTTTGGCTATTTCAAGCAGGTGTTGCTTGCAAACCCGAAAGTGTAAGTAATACCATTTGAGAATGGTTGATGTTTAATGATGTTGTAGTAATACCTTGTTATTTTGTTTGCAGGTTGCATTTGGGGACAGGCAAATATGATTTGGATAATGAATTTTTCCTGGAGTTGGCAACCCCGAGAAAATGGGTGTCAAGCAAGGTATGATATAGGTAGTTTAAATGGCTTCCATTACGTTTGTTTATTTGTAATATTTTTTCTGTGTTTTGGCAGCATATGGAAGTGTTGGTGGACTATATCAGTGAGAAGCATGCTGATGTGTTGAAGGAGAACAGAGCAATGTTTGTATCACCTTGGTTTATCTCTCAGCTGGGTGGGAAATCGCGGGCGTTTAAGGCAGCCACATATAAGGGGCGAGTATTTTCTGACCCGAAGCTTGCTGGTTATTTAACTGAAGAAGGGATGAAACTTGGGGTGGACATAGACTGGGTGTACACTCCTATGTTCTGGGGGACCAATCATTGGGTTGGGTTGCGCATTAGTATTACCGAGTGGAGTGTGCTTGTCTATGATCCAGACCGAAGTCTTAGAGAACTGGATGATGTGATGGAGTGAATGACACCAATAGCTCAGATGTTTCCTTACATAGTACGGAAAGCCTGCCCCGCTGAATATCTGCAAGGGAATGGGGTTGTACCTTTTGGTGTTGAGTTGATGGCTGATGGTTACCAGAACACACGCAGTGGCGATTGTGGGCATGTGGCTATGAAGTTCTTAGAGTTGGCTGCAACAGGTGTTGAGGAACCAGATGTAGAGGACATCACTGATGAGTTGGTTGACATTTTCAGGAAACACTATGCTATGCATGTGTACAAGGATTGGGTTGTACCGTTGTACATGGGATGAACTAGTAGGGATGTACATGTGTTGGTTTTTGTTTTTGTGATCTCGTTTGTATCGGGGGCAGTGTTTGTACTATTTTCTGTTGGGCTTGACTAGTACTATTTGCTGTAGTTGTTTTAACGGCGAGGTGGTAGGGGGGGATTGTTTTTCATTTCCTTGGTTGTGTGATGGTACTGTAATGTAAAANGTTGTACATGGGATGAACTAGTAGGGATGTACATGTGTTGGTTTTTGTTTTTGTGATCTCGTTTGTATCGGGGGCAGTGTTTGTACTATTTTCTGTTGGGCTTGACTAGTACTATTTGCTGTAGTTGTTTTAACGGCGAGGTGGTAGGGGGGGATTGTTTTTCATTTCCTTGGTTGTGTGATGGTACTGTAATGTAAAACCTGGATACAGAAGCTTGTAAGTTGGTACTCTAAAAATCCCAACATTATAATGTGCTTTAAAAATCTGTTCCGCTTCTAAAGTAGTTTGAGTGAAGTGATTGTATTGTCTAAAGTAGTGTGTGTACATCGGTACATGAGAAAGAGTTTCCTAGATAAGTGAATTGTACATGGATAACTGAATTGTACAATAGATAGTTAGTCTGTTGGACCTCCTTTGTACACGAAAATTGATTGTACAGACTAATAGCCCATATACCAATTAGTTGCATAGTTGTTACACTCTAATCTGAGATGTTTGTACTGACTGATAGTCCTTGTAAGAAGTTGTTTTATATTGAATTTGAACTCGTAAGTAAAAATTGTACAATGTAATAGGGAAAGGTTGTGAAAGAGCAAATTAGTAGTTTGCAAATGATTGTACACTATAATAGGGTAGCAGGAAATTGACTTGGTAGTTTTGAAATCTAAGAGGTTGATTGATAAGAAAGTGATGATGAGAAACATTTAACAACATAGTCTAGTTTAGCAGAACAGTTGTACATAACTTATAGACACCAAAAGGTACAACAACCATGTTTTTTAGGCTTTTGAGCTTAGGACATGAAGAATACTAAGGAAGAAGACACTATGTACATAACTTATAGACAACAAAAAGTACAACAACACAGGCAACCATGTTTTTTAGGCTTCTGAGTTCCATGTGGGCATCTTTAATTTCCTGTTCGAATCCAGAGATCTCGTTTTTCAGCGTGCTAACGAGACTGCAGCAAGCACGGTTTTCAAGTGTAAGATTCTCGATCTGAGATTGACAGACCTGCACGACTTTTTCCGTGTCAACTGAAGCCATTTGAAGACCATCGATATTGAATTTTATGTCCTCGATTTCCTCAACCATACACAGATCCGTCCATTTGAATAGGTGGTGAGGATTGTTCTACAAGAAGAAAGAAGGATAAGAATCAGAGATAATGTGAAGGTTGAGAAGGTGAATGTGTTAACGTAATTGGGAATACCAAATATTGAGAACTTTGAAATAGGTATAATTGTGGAAAATGGTTACCATCGAAGACATACCTCATTGCCATATGGACAACTGTGAAATAAGCGGCCAGGGTTGGTGGGGGTTTTAGATGTGCGGCGGGAAACACGGGAGCCACATGGGCAGTGCGTCGGGAATCCTCTGTCTGCCATGGAGAGTGTCCCTTTTGGTCAGCGGATGGGGCGTTTTTTTTGAAAGGTAGAGGAACCCTAATTTCAATGGTGTGTGCCCGAGCCTTATTTATTAGGGTAAAGAAGGGGTTTATAAGTGGTCTAGCAAAACGGTGCCGTATTAATAGAAAGTCCCCGGCTTGTACGATTAGTTGGCGTACATGTCCGTGTTTGTAAAAGCTGTACACATGTACAGTATTTAGATAGTGCACGAGCAAACTGGCTAACTTTGCGGGAAATTATAGCCAATAAGAAACAACCGTTATACTTCTCCCAAAAGGATCAACCAATACATGTTCGTAATGTTTTGACATGAAAACCCAAAAAAGAACAGAAAGGTACAATCAAGAAGCTGATCCTTGGTGAATTTGCTATCCAAAAGATGATGCCGTGGATATAAGATTCACCACAGTCAGATGGGCCTAACGCAGCGAGTGCGATTGTGACCAGTGCCACCACAACGTCCACATTTGTTTGGGATTGTTTTTTTTTTCTTGGGAGGCTGATCATATCAGATAGAAAAAAAGTAAGTACAAGAATGAATATGACAATAGTCTATGAATAGGAGGAAAATGAAGTTACATGAACCTCTCCTGTGGAAGGAATCCTTTTATCCTTAGGTCTGCCAGAGGGGCGGCGGGTTTTGGGAGGGCAAATGGTGAGATCTTCGATATGACGGGGTATTTGTATGTCTCCTAAAGGAGCCTCAGGGGAGATAACACCAGAGTAAGTCTCTCTCCAGTGGTGTGTCTTGTAGAATTCAGAAACCAATTGGTTGTAGGGGAGACCAATTGAGTCAGCAGCCAAAAGAGCATGTCCACATGGGATTTTAAGCTTCTGGAACACTTGACATGTACAAGCTTTTGTATCCAAGTGGACAGTGTTGTGGTGACCAAAAAGGCCCCTAACTGAATAGCTCCATTCCTTTGTTTGAGAGATTTTGC